CATTCTTATAATTATGTTTGCGGTTTGAGAACATGACGTCCTTTTCTGCTGTTTCTAAAAGATGTTACTATGAGTGTTTAGAAATCAGCATAAGTGCTTGACTTTTCTCCTTCCCGCTTTCTATATAAAATAGTCTATCATAACATTATAATAACATTGTTTTGAATGATGTATGCTTCAGTGAAGTACAAATGTGGTTAATTGTAATACATGGATGAGCAGAGATCGGGATTCCCTTGACGTTCTTCTAGTGTAGTATTACGAAGTCTTTCAGTGTCTTTATTACCGTTGGACGAGTGTGTATTTCCATCAGATGTAATCTCTTTCAGAAGAGACGTTCAAAAAAAGAGCCTTACTTGTTTTTGTCTCTTGAAGTTTGGTTTTAAGTTGCCCCAGTGTTGCAGAAGCAGGCCTATGTGTAGGGATGCCTACGGGACCAGTGACCAGTGACGGCACGGATGGTTTTCCAAACCGGCCACAAGTTAGGACCATACTGATTTAAATGCCCAGTCCATGGCTCAGCCTGACAGTTGTTAAGTTTGGTGTTACAGAATGTTCACCACTTGAGATTCAGTTATCGGATCACAAACCCTAACAATCGCAGGATATTCAGTAAGGAGGTGTAAACAAGGCTGGGTGAATGGTGTACGCTACACAGAAGAGAGTGTTTTGTCTGACCTTCTCACGACAAGCTTCAGCTGCTGTCAAATACAGTGAGCAATTATTTCCAAGTGTATTGGGCTATCTGCTTGGGATCCCTGCTCAGTGACAATGGAGAATTCAACTCACAACTGTGTTATGGCAGAACATTAAAAATGTAGACAAATGTTACCATGCCGTGTTTTCAGATCATCCTATACTGTCGGTCAAATGGGGTTGAGACGCTGCTCGAGGGAGTCCAGCCACCGACCGGCTCCTTGAGTTTCACTCTTTAGGTATCCTGATACAGTATTCTGCAGGAGGAAGAGACCCGTTTCATGTGTCAGCTCTTAAAGATTTTATTGAGAAACATCTACGAAACGGAGACTAGTTAAGTCCAGGAAGTTAGAGATGAGACGTTGGCGCATTACGTCTCCATCAAGGTCAGGGACACGTCGAGCAGCGGTCATGCTTCAGTAAACACTGCTTTCTGGTTGTGCTTACATAGGGTTAGATGAGGGTTTCAAGCTCTCCATTCTCAAGCTCTCCAACCGAGTGAGTATTAAGGTTGGATTGGTCTCGAAGGGTCCACTGAGGTCTTTCTTTGAGGCAACAGGTTTATATCCAGTCAAAATCATACAGCAGAATCTCCCTCCTTTGTTCTCTAGCTTTTCTTAGTCTCAGTAGGAATATGACTTTGCATTTATGAATATATTTGTACTTTGCTGCTGATGTCTCGGAATTGGCCGTAGTGTGTGGTTGTGTGTCAGTATGTGCTTCGCAGTGGACTGGAGGCCGACCTTCATGAGCCCCTCACCTTTTTTGATGAGGAATTCTGACCGATGTCATTCAGCTCCTATCAAGCTTCCATGCCCAACTTTCCCACCCTTAGGTGACCTCCACAAAGTCGTATACAGTCAGATATTAGGCTGAACAAACAGCACACCATGCTGGCCTGTGGTAAACCAACAAAGCCACAGTATCTGTAACTGCTTTCGGAGGACACTCCTGTTCCGGCTGTTGTGATAGTGGCATGAATGTTTCTCAATATCATCAAGCAGACTTCATCTTCACAGAGAAGGGTTTACATAATACACACACCTCCATTCTCGTATACACACCGTAGGGATTCTTGTACACACATTTTTCTCCCCTGACTTGAGAGACCCTGTGAGGCCTGAAGGTTTCAGTTCAGCTTGGGCAGTTTGGAGCTGCAGCCCATTCATGCCGGGGCCACAACCATGGGCGGAGCGAGTGGACTGCAAGTATCCTCTGAGCCCATTCCTCCTCAGTGGGCATCAGTCATGAGCCAATCCCATTGCAGAACACGGGCCACACATGGATGCAATTGCTCGTTCCTGTCTCACCATGGAGCCGTAATGTTACAGGTCACCAGCCTTCGGCTATTGCGACTGACGTCAAGTTTTTTGGAAGAGACCCATATCTCTGCATGGGTGTGCGAATTCTCACCTTTGGCGGTGCAAGGGGGGGGGGATTCTGTGGAGAAACTTATAATTTACCATATGGACATAACCCATAGTCAAACATAGGCCTGGAGTCTTATTTATCGTGGTCCTCTCTACCAACGTTTACTGCTTCTTAGAAGGACAACATCAAGCCCTGCTTAATGCAGAAACACGTCCTACCTGTTACTGACATGAGGCAGGCAATTAAAAAAAAAAAACACAAACCAAAAGAAAACACTTGAGAAATGGCATAAGAACAAAAAAGAATCAAAGCTTTGTTCATCTTGCCTTTATGTTGACAACCTGGCAGCATATCTCCCACAATGCAGTGGGGCGGGGTGTAAATGATGTGTTTGGAATCTCCAGAATTACTGACTCTGATGGCACCTGTTTCGTCTTAGCATCCTGGCTTAATTCAAAACAGTTCTTCTGGGGGCTTTGAGCACTGGTCATCATCCTGCCTCTCAGCGTAATCTGACAGGATTGTTATCACTGAAGGTATGTGTCCTCCTGGTTAACCAGCCGTGGAAAGTCCTCATCTTGAGTCATCTCAGGTCTGCAGCAGTGTTCAGTGAGCTGGGGTTGTAGGCCTCAGAGATGTGGACTGTGGCCGGGCTGAGCAGTTGAAACTCAGGTGTTGTTTGATCCCTGCTCCTCACAGCACTTGCTGGGGTTTGGACCAACTGAGACGGTTGTTAATATGGCTGGACAGAATTATTATAGTCTCTCACATAATGATATATACCTTATATTTGGTAAGAAAGATCTTTACCTCTTTCTCCCACATTAAATACTCCATTCATTTATTGTTTGCTAGTTATGTAAAATGAACAGATTAACTGACATATGATTAATCATGAGCATTCAAATTATTTTTTCCTCTACCACCAGTCAATCACATCCCTTTAACACACTCCTGTAAATCTGGGAGTAAAGACTCTCCTTCCTCGTGCCTTCTGATGTCCATTTACCACTTTTTACCCTGCGGTTCAGTGGCTACATCAAGAGACACAACACACCATTCACTCAGCTCCACCCGCAGGTGTGCTGGCGGTGAGCGGACAGTAGGTGTCAGTGTAGAGTGACGAGAGGAAGGAGAACTCAACACACTGAGCCCTGTGACATAACCTGAGCCTTATTATCTAGCTTCCACCAGTGCTGTTTACAGCTTTTAAGGATATCTAAAAACATCTACGCACTTTTTTCACACTTCTCTCTAACAGTAATTACAGCCTTGGTTTTAATTAGTCTTGATGCATTGAATCAATGGCTTAATCAGGCCTCATTATTTCAGAACTATGCCAGACTGCAAACCAGTACATGATGTGTTGCAAAAAAGACCCAGGCTGGGGAGATGCTGTAGGTCTGTATGCCTTCAGGCACGTCTGTTATCCGGATCTCCTTAAAAAGAAAGAAAAAGCATTTAATGGGGATAAAGACCCTGCCTGGTCCCATTGGATACTGGCAAACGTTTATGTTTTTGGGTTTTTGGTCCCTGGCCTCCGGACATCTGTTTCAGGTAAAAGCGCCGGCATCGAGCGAATGTGCCGAGGTAAACATGCGACCAAAGTATTCGGTAAATATGCAGCTGGAGAAATGCATTCACAAAGCATTGTAAGCCACACATCTGAGATCCTCCCTGGGCATCTCCTAGTCCCATGTTTAGGTTACTTTTTCTCCTCCACCCTTGCAAGGCTGCCTTACCCCCTCTACGTTTGATGGTTAGTCTCGGGTTCCAGTTCCCACCGTCAGGACCTCGCCAATGGGTCTCTCCTGCTCCACATCGATAAGTCTGACGGATATTTCTAGAAAGCTGCCCCTCTGTGGCCTGTCTGCGGGGTTGTATCTGTAAAGGGACACGATATATTTCCAGTGTAAAGCTGTGTTTTCTCCCAGCTAATACAGATGTCTCAAAAGGCCAGAGGAGGCATTGCAGGGTGGAGTGGGGGTGCTTATGGGTCAATTTGACAGAAGTGGTAAAACAGTTACCATATTTAACCTGGCAGAACATTGATCATTGCAGAATGTTCTAGACCGCAAGATGGTGGTTAATGTTTGACGGTTCCACAATAAGTTTTTGGCCTTGTCTCCATTTGTGACAAGGAGCACTTTAGTGTGTGTGTCAATGTGTGTGTTTCCAGTGATTGGTTTCAAGGATTCTTTCCGTTAAGTGACATTTTTGAAGAGCATTAGAGTGGAACATCAAACGCGCTCAGTGTGGTGTCTGAAGGCGGCAGGAGCGATGAGCAGCGATGTGTGTGGGGGGGGGGGGGGGGCGGTCCGGGCCATCAGGCACGAGCGTGACTCATGGCACGAGTCCGCCTCACCTGTCATGTGCACGGCCAAGTGCATTTGGAAATGTTTCAACAAAAATACGTCATGGAAAACTGGCCATGTAAACGGTGACAGAGTGAATGAGAAAATGTTGCAGGTCACACTGTAACTTTGTCCTGACTGTTATTCAACATCACATGAAGCATGTTAAAAAAAAAAAAAAAAAAAAAATCCAGTTGCCTTATTCTAATATACTGTTGTATAATTACACATATTAATGAGGAATTAATGTAATTTCAAATATTAATTTAAATGATATACAATGTAAAATTATAGTTTATTTTCCTGCTTTTTAAAAATAACCACGTTGATGGTATTAATATGGGTTAATGGTATTTTTGGAATCTTAGTATGTAAAATACTATTTTGCCCAGGTAATAAAGTACTAATAAATGAACAAAAAATAAAATCATACACACAGATTCTGAAAGAGCCGTTAGGGTAGGGTTAGTCCAGAGTGTTGCGGTGAAAAATGCACTTCCGACTAACCCCTTTCCTCTTTCCTTAATGGCCTTTGCTGACTCAGCACAATTAACATTGTATTGCTTGTGCTTCTTCTAGGAGATGTTTGAGTCGCTGTTCCTTGCGTACGACGACCGTGTGACGTTCCAGCTCTTCAAGAGCTTCCGTCGCGTGCGGATCAGCTTCAGCAACCCCAAGGCGGCCGCCACAGCCAGGATAGAGCTCCACGAGACCCCGTTTAGAGGCAAGAAGCTGAAGCTTTACTTCGCCCAGGTGAGACCACACCCCCAGATTCAAGCCAACCTATCAGAGCCCAGATGGCTGCAGGTGCTCCTTGCTGAATGGCTGCCTGATTATCTTGCTCCTCCCATTTTATGTACGTTACTTACAGGTAGCTGATAAAGAACCGAAACTTATACTGTGGTTCATGAATTGCGCCTTTGACCAGAAGGTTTCTGGCATTTCTGACATCAACACCTGACAGCTGAGCAGGTGTGAAGAGCAGAGTCATGACGTTTCCCAGCGGAAACACGTGTCCATCTAATTCATATTAGCTGTGATCTAATTGAAGTTTGTGTCTCATGACTCACTGCTTCACTGCTGTTTACTCTCCCCCCACCTTCCTAACCATATTCGCCCCNCCCCCCATACCTCTTTTCCAGGTACAGAACCCCGTCTCTGATGGGGACAATCTGCTCTTGGCTCCCCCCAACCCATCCAAGCAGTTCCTCATCTCCCCGCCGGGTTCACCGCCTGTCGGGTGGCAGCAAATCGACGACGCCACGCCCGTCATTAACTACGACCTGCTGTACGCAGTGGCTAAGCTGGGACCCGGTGCGTAACGAGAAAAAAAACGTTAGATTTTTATTCATTTTTCTTTGCAGAGCGATATATCGCGGCCACTGTGGGAAAATATAGCAATGGCTATAAATATCATTATGCAATGGTAATTAGTAGGAGGAATGTAATTAGGGGCAGAGCTTAATGCAATAATGGTCAAATGCTATATCCATCCATAAATTTCCTCGAATTGCTTGGAGGCTACCCTGGGACACACAGGGCAGGAGACGGGGGGGGTCTGGGCAGGATCTGTCATGGGGCACTCAGGCAAACATACGTTCACATGTACAAGCACATGCTAAGGGTATTTTAGTTTCTACATGGCTTTTTCCTGACGGAAAAAAGCGGATTACTGAGAATCTATGCAAAGTCTGCACACATGGTCTGATATGGTTAGAGTGCAGAGTGAATGCAGAGTGTTTAACCTGCATATTAACTGGTAAAGCTTAACCATCAGTAATGCACCAGAATGGGTGACAGATTAAGTGCTCACAGCTGCCTACGTGCCCGCTGTCTATTAGCTGTCAGACCGCAGGCCGTCGTCGCTTTCAGAGGAAGCAGAGGGCACCGTGCTCCCCTGTTTCTGGAAGCGAGGTGTAAATTTGCCGGGATGAGGTCCCCGGATCCCACTCCATCTGGGTTTCCTGGCGAGTGCGAGGTTTTCTGGCCGAAGCAGCTGTTCGGGAGAAGTCAGCCATCTTGAACACTGGCTCATAGGAGCCGAAAGGGCTAACAGCAAAGGCTCACTCTCCTGAGCAAATCACAGCCTGAGTCAATGCAAAATAATAAACGCAGATGGGCCCCTCTCCCCCACGCCATACCGTCTGAGAAGGAATAGTGAATTTCTTTAGTGATCAACTATTTTTAGGTCCTTCTGAGGTCTGTGGCTTAGAGGTGAGAATGTTTACATTATGCCTGGGAGGTTTGGGCATTACAGACCCTTGCCGGAGAGGATTTGTTGTGCGGTTCCCACGTAAACATCCTGCTGGATGAGAAAAGCGGTCACCCTCAGCCTGGGGCTGTCTGGCAGGTGAGGTCCAAAGAGGACGCTCGGAGGGTCTGCGTTTCATTTCGACTCCTCCATCTTCACTGCCTGCTCTATATTCATCTTGCATATGTTGCTCCATGCCCTACGTGTCTATACTCTGCCTTTGGGATGTAAGCAGGACGATTCATCAATTAGATGCCTCACACATTTGATATTATTAATACTTTATTATTTATCTATTGTGCTTCTAATTCGAGAGAGAGACGCTAATTTATCTTGCCTTATGTGGGTGAATGCCATGGAAACGAGATGATATTCATATCAGGTCAGCACTATTATGGTTCTAATTATGGTTTAAAAATGCTAAGTGGCACTGAGTCAGTGCTGTTCCTCTCACACACCACAAGGGGGCTTCTCCGCCCTGCCACTTCACCACCATGACTTGGTGCTGATGTTTGCGCTTGGCAGTCAGGCATTGGTTAGGTAGTTAATGGAATCAGTTTTATTGCTTGAAAATAATTCATCATGCAGTTTAGGTCTATACAGGGGTCAAACTCACTTTGTTGCTGTGACTATATCGTAAGACTGTACTCCACCAAACCGTAGGAGCACTGATTCCGACATTCCGCCTGCTCAGAGCACTCTGTTACGCAAAAAGAGTAAGCGCTGCTGTTAGCTATTAGCAGCAGATTGCTCTGGGTGCTGGCCATGTGCCTCACTGTGGAGAATTTCAGGGCGTGATGAATTCTTTGCCCCAAACTGGGAGATTTATGGTGGTCCTTACTGCCGTGGGCCGAACATGTCTGAGCGAAGCCGAGTCATTCGCTGCCAAAGATCCTTTTTCCCAGCCCCAGCGAGAGTAAATGCTCCACTCGAAAGACGTTTTGGAATATCTGTCACTGTTTTCCTTCAAGCTGGCCCAAGCATTCATATCTACCACCTAACGAATTGTCGCCACGGCGTTTGTTGCTGGCTGTAGAGTCTCAGAGTGTTCTGCTAAGGGTCTTTTCTAATCCTCTCCACCCTGATGGTTGACTTCCTGTGATAGCGCTTCAGGAACTCGTAGAATTCTTGCCGTGGAAAATTTCAAACATTTTCTCCTGTTTACGTAGTCTAGTTCTGGATCTGCAGGCCGTCCCTGAGTGTGCAGAATTTCCTCAAGTGCCTGCTGCTTTTCTGATGGTTTTAGTCATTCTGTAAGTGGAATATATTTAGAGACACTGCATAGCAGAGTGAGGGTCAGACTGACGTCATTCTTCGATTATCGGCATCATTGGTTGATTTGGTGTCAATGGTGAAAGCAGCACAATGAGGCCACTCAGTCAGGTGACCTCAAACGAACTGAACCATCACTAAATGTACCCACAGGACCCCCAGAAGGGATCATTAACGCCTCAAGGGCCATGTTTGCCCGAAATCACTGCGGTGGGTTGCATGCTTGGTTTTATGATGCGTTGCCATATCAGTTCCCAATCAAAGGACCCAGCCCAGTCCTTCAAGGAACTTTAGATGTAGCTGAGGAGGAAAAGAATATATTTTATAAGGGGAAACTACAAGATAAAAACATAAGGCGTTGTGACATTATAACAGTAATAAAGTATAAAGTACTCAGCGCGGAAATGAATGCCAGGCATACACAGGTTAAAATAATGACCCACTCAGAAACATTTCCATTAATACTGAATTAGTCCCATAGAGTAATGTAGGCCTTGGCACCCATATTAGATTTTACACAGGGCACTTAATAAAGACCTACAGGCAACACAATTTAAATATGAATTGGTGTAGATAACATTTCTCTGGTGACAGGATATTGAGAGTGATGGTGTTTTTCAGAAAGGTAGGTGTTCTTAAACACGTTAGACACTAATGCAGGCCATTCATTCTGGCCAGACAGGCGGCGTTAATCAATCCGTGTTAAGCAATTACACAGCGATTCAGGAAACCGATGCCCTGAGACACATTCCCGTATGGATTTAGAGATGGTTGCATTATTCATAAGACGCACTTAGCCATTTAAGAGTATGGATATGTATACTTCAGCAAGCCGCCCCCAGACGAGTGTCACACAGCCTTCAGGCCAGAAGCCTTACATTCTTTGTCCCCAAATCATTCACTTGCTGCCCCAGTCGTAACGAAACATATATAAACAAAATTAACTTTTCAGACATCCGTTAGACCAGAACAGGAGGGGGCATTGCCTTTCATTTATGCAGTTAAAGGATTAACTAAGCGTTTAGGATTAAGTGAGCGCATAACTCCGAAACCTGGATTTCAGGAAACATAAATACACTGGCCAGACGTGTGTTTGATGTCCATGCTTCAATTCGTCTTGGCAGTGGAGATGTTTTGGGGAAATTTCCGAGACTGGCCACAGATTTTTGCAGGCCCTCAATGAGATTGTTTGTTTTCTCCACGTTGTTGCCCTTGTTAGGGAAAGTGTTCGCAGTGCGATCCTCCGCTCTCCGTGAGCCTTCGCTGTGTGTACACGTGTCTCCCTCCCCCCCCCAGCCCAGTTCTAATGAATGAGGAGTGATGCAGGAGTTTGTGAGATACAGCAGAGCTCTCAAAGGTCGCTGGAAAGGGACTGCGGTTTTCCCTCTCTGGGCCCGGCAATCACAGCATCTTCTGACAGACAGGGCGCCCTGCAAAAGACGTCGGCACAGACACAGGGCAGCGTTGCAGTCCTGCGCCGGTGGGCTGGCGTGAGTCCGGCCCCGCTGTAAAACTTATTGGAATGCTGCAAAGCACCGGCGTTCTGCAAATGTTTATTTTTGCACTGTTGCTTAGGAATGTTGTATATTTAAGAAATAGTCAAATCGGAGGGGGGAGGGGGGGTGTATTTTTAAGTGTTTGACCCTGCTTGAAAGAATGCAGTAAAAAAAAAAAAAAAATAGCTGGGGTGGTATCACTGCGGAGCCAGAATGAAAAACGGGACTCATCTATACCAGGCGTAAATGATAAATTTGGCAGAACGTTTCGCGTGGATGCGGCTGCACGGTTTGCGACTGAGCTGCATCGCTGGGATGCGTGGGGATGACGCACGGGCGCATGTCGTCCGCTTCCCTGTTCTCCGTTTCTCCGGATGGGGATCCGGAGCAGGGAAATGCTGTGCGCTGTGCATGACAATGAACTCCAGCGATGCTGCTGTCTGTGCTGACTTTGGAAGCCATCGTTTGTTATATCGGCTGGC